ACATTTATATTTGTTTTTAAACATAAATGCCAACAAAGTCCATTATGAGAAAAGTAAATTAGGAAAGATGCAGATAGAACTTATCAATATGTTGTTATTATTATGTTGCTATTATTGTGCATGTATGCACATTTTGAATTGCTGGGTTATGTGTTGTTATCGTTGTACACTAAGAACAAACAGGACCCTGACTAGGATAATAGAGATAAATTCATTGTTGTACACTAAGAACAAACACGACCCTGACTAGGATAATAGAGATAAATTATCAGCAGAGAATCAAAAATCCCCTAGGTTTAACATTTCTGTGCTCAGCATATATGGATATGTGTATCTCACACCTTTGAGATATTTCACCACTCTGATCCAGGGACAAACGATTGTTCCCTAGTTCATTCCTTTGTATATTTTTATCAACAATTTCAGATCTCTGCTTTTTCTTTTTCGTACTACAGATCTATTTGTACTGGTTATACAGTTTAAAAGCAACTTTTATACACACTATGCATGCCATTCTATAAATATGTAAAATGCTGATTTATTGATGCACAAATAATGTTGAAAGCTGCATATATTTTACGGAAAGTGATTGTACAAGGAAAAACAACATGACAGTAGAGAATCATGCAGGGCAGAAGTGATATTGGAAGGGGAACTTTCAAGTGACAACAGCAAGGCTGAGAAATTTGAAATCATTCCTCACTCCAATTTTTTTTTAAAAAAATATTCTTGTGGCTTTCCTCAATATTTCCCAAGTGTTTTGTCCAAGCAGGAACACCTAACATCAAATTTAGCTTCAGGGAGAATACAGTGGCAACTCTACAGACCCCATCATTAGTCTCATGGATGTTAATAGAACTTATGTTCCTAAGCAGGTTAAGTAGAAGGGATGCATATGAATGAACACACACACACACACACAGAGTGCATGCACTGGCTTTTACATTCTCATTGTCTGGAGTTTGGAAGAAGTTCAGTGTACAAGGGACATGCAAGCAACAGAGTAGGAAGAATGTTGACCATATTGGAGGGAATCATACACAAACTTACAAAGATGATGGAGAAGGAGGAGAGCCTTGAACTGGACATAGATTTACTTGAAGAATAGGGAGGCTACTGAATTTTACTGCTTCAACTTGGGGGAAAAAATCCCCATTTTGATCTCTCCTCCCTTGTATAAATCAAACCCACAACTTTTAATTACCATTCCCTTTCTGTTTCTCTGTGCCAGTCTCCCCCTCCATTTGCATATTTTAAAAGTATTTTAGGTTCACTTGCATAGAAAGGAATATAACATATTCATGGCATTCTAAAGACTCAAAGAAAGCCAGTGTGGTGCAATGGTTAGAGTGCTGGCCTAGCATCTGGGAGCGCCAAGTTCAAATCCTCACTCTGTGATGGAAGCTCAGTGAGTGACCTTGGTCAGCCACACACTCTCAGCCTAGCCTACCCTCAAGGCCGCTGGGAGGATAAATTGGAGGAAAGGAGAACATCGTAAGCTGCTTTAGGTTTCCATTGGGGAGAAAGGCAGAGTCTAAGTGAAGTCAACAGCTGATTAAATTTTCAGAAGCGTGACTGATGATCCTGTCAATTGCTCCCTCAAACTGTTGTCCTTTGGGACCCCAGAAATATTGTTATGGGTGTCTTTGTGTCAGTGGGCCCTCAGGAACAGCACAGGTGGCAAAGTGGTGGTCTGAGGGAGGAGGCAATCAGCAGCTCACCACCCCCGTTCGAAAAACTTTAGCCTTTAGAATATATGGTTGGATACAAGCTGCAAGGTGGCTCATGTTGTATTTAGTATTGATTTGTTTTGGGGTTTCCTCTATTGGTCCATCACTGCTACAATAAAGATGGTTATGGATAAAATATCAGTTTGCAAGCAACTAAGATTAGGGGGGGGGAATGCAGAGACTTTGAATTTATAAACTGTTTGAATAAAGTCAAGACAGAGAAGGTTACTAAGCTCACAGTTCTTTAGTTGTATTGATTATTCACAATATTTGGAGATTAAGAAAATGTTTTGAGTCATATGGCATTGAATTGATTGACTGAACATTTCTCTATTATGGCCTTGGCTTGGGTCAACTGCTTTGATAGACAATGTTTATCCTTACCCTTGGCATTTTACTATGTAGAACTGTTCTTTTTTTGAAGTGTAGTAGCGTTGTTTGTTTATGAATACTGATCACTTACGAATATTTGTTGTTGTTTGTTTATTCTAATATTAAAGTAATTTTTAAAAAAGATGTCTGAAAGGAATCTCAAGCATGAAACAAGAAATTAGGCTTAACAATATTGGCAATGCCTCCTAGGTGTTATTCTAATTAAAATATAATTTTGAAAAATTGATGGATTATTTAATACCTATGTTTTTTTAAGGGATGAAGGTGTTGTACTGATTATTTAGCCCTTTGCAGTAGCACCAGTCTTCCTTTTCATCGTTCTCAAACTGTAAGGGATGTGTAAGAGGAAAAACCTTGGACTCAGCTTGGGCCATTTTTCATTTTAGTACCGGAAATGAAGTTAGTAGTATTAGGGTACGCATCTCTTACATTGCTTTCTCTTTTTATCTTGCCTCCCGAGCTCTGCGACAGTGAGACTAGAAGTAAGGAACCAGTATAACTACCAGACCCGAAGGTCTCTGATGACTTCTGAATGTCAGAAATAATCTTGTTCAAATTTGGAGCATTTACAATATGTACAGATGGGCAGATAGGATATTTTGAAGGTCATTTATTCGTAGGACCGCCATAAATCAGAATTGACTTGATGGCACATAACACACACAGATGGGCATGGTTCAGGCTGGGTTTTGATTAGTACATCCCTACAAACAGTACTGATGGCTGTAATACACATGTTTCATCATTACATGAGGTTCTTCCCTTTCCTTGATGTTGAGAGTGACAGGTTCAGCTGTTCAAAGATATAGTCTTAAATAAATGTCCTTATGCATTTGGTATCTGCAGACAGCATCTGTCACAACAAATGATTTTGCACATTATCATCTCAATGAGACCCTGGCAAATTGTGGACAGCAGCAGCAGGTCTTTTGCTAACTGAAAAGGATTTGGTGATAATAATCCAGAAAATGACCTTGTGAAGAATTTGTGGGACTCACATTTCATCTTAGTAGCTATAAACTGAAGATATCAGGAAACACTGTAATGGCTAAAACTATACATAACGTTTCCATTCCCACTTGTTGGGGGGCTGCTAATGACCTACACATGGAACTCTTGAATGTATACAGCACCTAGTAAACTTTGACATCTTTCTCATTGCCATTAATACATTAGGTATAGCTGTATCTAGATGAATGGGGATTGGTTGAATGTTGCCGTTGCCTTTGTATCTACTATTTTAGAAAATACTCTCCCTCATTAGCAAATTTTAATGTGCTGTTAGATAACTGGAACAAAATGTATTTGCGATTTGTACATGGATTCACCCTGACCTAGGCTAGCCTAATCTCATCAGCTCTCAGAAGCTCAGCAGGGTTGACCCTGGTTAGTACTTGAATGGGAGGCCACCAAGGAAGTCCAGGGTCGCTATGCAAAGGAGGGCAATGGCAAACCACCTCTGTTAGCCTCTTGCCTTGACAACCCTATGGGATTGCAGTACGTCAGCTGCAACTTGATGGTGCTTGCCACCACCACTAATAATAATAATGATAGTAATAATGTTGGCTCTCCTACTCCTGCTAGAGTTAGAAAAAAACATAACCTTTGTGTGTCTGTATATTTGTGAATAAATCCTTTCCACACTTTGATATCTATAGGTTGATAAAGAGACAGTTGCAGAGTCCCTAGAAGTTTTCCATTTCAGTCCTTTTTGGTAATGCCAGGAAGATGTAGGGAGAGGAGAAAGAGAATGAGCTCCTCAGATGGCTTCGCAGGTGGCTCTATACCTTGGGCTGGACTCAGGCAGGTTCCCTTACTGCTGAGCACCATGACTGTGAACAGTCTCACTTTGACGCTTGGTCTCCTAGCCACCTACTCTCTCTTTTCAGCTGGCTGCCCCAAGCTCCAGTGTTGGGCTTTCTCTGGTCTGCACCATGGAGCCATCATTATCCATTTTTGCCATTTCCAGCCATTCCAGCCATCATCCATTGCCATCTCCATTTGTTCAGGCCTCAACTCCCCCCTCCAGTAGGCATCACATCACATTGGGCTTGACTATATTTACATTCAAGTGGGTTGCCCATGCTTGAGCCAACTGTTGTTCTTACATAAATCCCAACTGTTTATTAATTACATAATCAACTAAATACCGCAGCTCTAGTTAAGTTCCTAAATTTCAGCTTCAGGTCTGTTCAATGGAAATAATACCGCCTCTATAATATAGGACTGCAGTGAAGGAATAAAAGGATAATACACAGGGTAAGGATCATGCGTAAGGTTGTCAAGTGCCCAGTCTGGATTCAACTTAAAAGCATTTTCTGTCAGAGAAGCTGTATTGGGCCCCGAGAAGCTCATGAGGTCAAGATTCTGCCAGGTTCCACACATTATTTGCAAGGCTCCACCCAAGTCCTGCTGCTGATCCACCTGTCTCTTTCCCAGCTCTGCCTCTTATCTTCCAGAAACCGTCAGGTGCTGCCCTGAATCTGCTGTGTCCAGCTGCTCCAACGCCATATCCTGGCTATTAGTGGCAGGGCCGTAGCTCAGTGGTAGAGCATCTGCTTGGCATGCAGAAGGTCCCAGGTTCAATCACAAGCACCTCCACTTAAAAGGATCCGGTAGTAGGTGATGCGAAAGACCTCTGCTTGAAGCCCTGGAGAATGGCTGCCAATCTGAGCAGATAATACTGACTGTGATGGATCAATGGTCTGATTTCAGTATCGGGCCGCTTCATGTGTCATGTGTCCATGTATTCCATTGTGGCCAGTATTTTTTTAATCAAAAGTTGGCAACCTTAACAATAAAACACATTTCTTGGAGCTACAGAAATGTATAATGATCAGTCATCAAAAAACAATTGAAAATCTAGTGCAACAGTACCTTCCTCTTTGCTTTCAGTTGCTCCTGGTATTTGTCTGATGTATCTCCTGGGATCTCACCTCCCCAAAGGCTGATTCCGACAATCGTGTAAGTGATACCCATGACCAGCAGTGGGAAGCAGTACACCAGTACAATCACAATGATGTGGTACCTGCAACACAAGGACATTAAACTGACACATTGTTTCAGAAGAACTGGTCAAAACAGAAGTTGCGGTCTGCATTGTTAAAAAGGCCCAGCTTCCTGGGGGAGAAGCAGCTATGTGGTTTCACTGGGACACACTACAGCGTTTCTTCCCAACCCTAGATACGTAATTTCTGGAAATGCTGAGGCTAATTGACGGGGGTGGGGGTGTTTATTATGTGTTGGCAAAAATGGAAAATAGGGGAAAAACTGAAATATATGCAATATTTACTTTCCTATTAATCCTAAACTTACTGCTTTTAACAACATAGAATTGTAAATTTGCCCAATACTTGAGAGATGTGGCAACTTGCTGCATCCTATGCTGCCTTAGCACATATATCATAATTTTTGCCGAGGGATTAGGGGGGGAAAAGTTGACCTTAGAAAACAATTTTTGTAAACAAAAGGAAGTATATTATTTGGACAGAAATGGCCTCATCAAGTCACAATAGGACTACCAACATATTTGGATACTTATAGTATTGGAAATGTTGAACTCTTCCCCCAACCCCCAGCCTCCACATCTCTACCCAACATCCTTATAACTAGTGAAGAGGGAGCCCGAAAGGCCATACATGAAAGAAATCATTCCCATCCTTTTGCTTCCAGTTACTAATTGGTTGTTCTGCATCTGACTACTTTTCCCAAGAAGTAGCAGCAGCAGCAGCAGCAGCAGAAAAAGAAAGCATTATTATAGATAGTAAATAAATACCCTTCTTTCCTGGGTACTTATGATTACCATCAACTTTGGGAGATCAATCTGTAAGTACTTCTACTGCACACAATACCTCATTAATTTAGGGAATTCACTGCTCCAAGATGTGATGATGGCCACTAGTACTGAAGATTACTTTAAAACAGGTTGGACACATTCACAGAGTACAGACCTATCCCTGGCTGTGCGTCATGATGACTAAACTGATGTTGAGAAGCAGCTGGATATGTGTTATTAAGGAAGTAGGGGAGCAACAGAGATGAGGTTAGTGGAGGCATCCGGACAGCCATTGTGGGAAGTAGCTGGACTAGATATACCCCTGCTGAGATACAGCGGAGATATTCATACATTCTTATATTGCTGAAATCAAATTTAGATTGACAACAGGAAGCTTTGGAGTCTTCAATAGATCATTTAGAAACACTGCCTGTTCTGTCTGCAGGGGCCAGCTACATAGACCAAAGTGCTGTGACTGAATCATTGGATGAAATGATGGCACTGGAGGAAAGGTTAGATTCAACCAGCTTTTCCACTGGTGAAAAAGGAAGGAAAGTGTCCCTTTTCATCTCCAAAAAGGCTATGTTGTGGAACATAGGACCTGCATAGACAAAAGCCATGTGGGAAAAGGGCTTTAAAAAGGAGAAGAATTGGGTAAGATTGATTGGAAAACATGGCTGGATCCAGTCCTTTCATTTATAAGGCATTATAGAATACTTGGGAACAAAGGGAACCTCTGCTGAAGAATTGAGTTATCTGTGAAATAAGAGAAACTGATTTAAAAATCAAGAGGAAAACTGAGAGACACCACTGAGAGACACATACCATGTTCTTCACATTCCTAAAGAAACTGCATACCATGTTCTTCACATTCCTAAAGAAAGGTCTGCTGGAGCCTTTTTCATATTCAGGTCTAATTTACGATCCTTATAACCTTTGGACTGAGCTCATCTGGTAAATGCCATGTTCTTTGGTTGTTAAGAGATAGGAAAGTCTGTCAAAAGTGCACTGAATTTTAAACACTTACGTGAAACGCTGTTTGATGCCACCTGGCCACGAGACATAGCACAGAGTTCTTCCGGGCACCACTTGCGTCTTTGAAAAGAGACACTGAGGAAGGGCAAGCAGAAATGCCAGGATCCATATGCTTGCAATCACAACTTTAGTAACAGTGGCAGAAAGCCTGGGCTTTAGAGGATCAGTAATGGCCATATATCTGATAAAACAAAAAATATCACAGAAATGTCACCAAACTAGAAGTGGCTGGAAAAAAACACATACTGTAAAGTACACACTAAAATGCCCTTTCCCCTGCATATAATACAGAAATCCAAAATAACTCTTCGATGACTTTTCAACAGACTAGGACCGTAATGTATTCCTATGCAGATTTAGCCTAGTGCAAACTGATTGACTTTAAGGCCCAGTCTGCATCTAGCATTTCCTCTGCTGTTATACCAAACCCACACTGGAACAGAAATTCCCGTCTACATTGCATGCCACTTTCACTTTGACTGAGTGTCGCATTTTATGGCAGTGTCCAGACTGCATGCTGCTTTCACTTTGTTTGATCTCCGGTTTTATTGTGGCTGTCTGCATAGATTTATTTATGGCTGTTTTATGCCCATTCGGGGGTGACACTGCAGTCAGTATGGTGCTGTCCTGGGGTAGTTGAATGTGGCTTCGACCTGCATCTTTTTCTGTTTCAGTGTGGGTCTGGTAAAACAACTCAGGAAATGCTAAATGCAGATTGGGCCTAAAGGACTTAAACTGGAGTAACTCTGCACAGGGCTGCATTGTAATTCTACCTGATAATTTTTGGTGTGCAGGAAAATTAGTCTCCTGTGAACCCAAGATTTCTTGTAAGGTTGATTTATTTTGAATTTGTTATCCCTGCAGTTTGCCTCTCCTTTGATTCTACTTTTCCCTTGTGCAAACCACACCCATGAGCCCTGATCTCATGCCGTTTTCTACTCCATCAAGCTGCTTTTCTCCCTGGAGTGAATCAAAGTGGCTTACAAAACCAAAAAAAAAAAGTGTTGGAGTTACAAAAGAAAAAAAAAATCAAATCTGGGCTCATCCATGCCTGGGAAGCTTGTTTTCACTGGTCCCAGGCTATGAGACCTGGGCCAAGAACCAAGGGCCAAGAGCTACCCAACAGCTCACTCCTCTATCCCCACACAGATTAAATACAGCAGGGAAATAAAATCAGCCTAGAAGGACCTCAGCTGCTGTTAGCCTTTCTTAATATCATCCTAAATAGCGTATAACTGGCATAACAACTATGTAAAGAAACAAATGAATTGGAATAACCTAAGCAAAAATAGGCAAACTGAAAAACCTCGTAATGACAACATACAACATTAGAAAGAAGCAAAAAGGGCATAACCAAACATCCATAGTTTCTCTCCACAAAGGAGGCTGCCCACCACTGCTCTGCATGAGTCTGTGTTCTGTTTTCTTCCTTCCAATGAGCCTTCCCTGGGGAAGAGTACTTTACATTATTTATTTAAGCTTCCAATATAATTAAATGTACAAACAGCTTCCAATATAATTAAATGTACAAAAAGTAGTGGCTTGGATTGTGTACCATCCTCCTGCTTCTGCAGTGCTCCCCGGTGGAGGCAGTGCTCCATTGTGGAGAACATTCTTCCAGCATTACACACCATCTTGCATGAGCAGAAAGCACCAAGTGAAGGAAAGCACTGTGCCATGGACAATTGCCACTGCCAACCATGGCAGCCTGGCACAAGTGGAAGGGATAGGATCTAAGCAATTCAAATATGTACACTGACTCGACTCGACTGTGCGACTGAACAACAACAACAACAACATTGACCCGTAAGTGAAACTGACACATTCCATTCATCTATTTCTTTATGTTTTTGGAGTAAGCAATCCCATACACAGAGTCCCTATTCCAGCTGCAGGGTTACAAAATGTAATTTCTCCATCTGATGTTTCTAGCTCAAGATGTGCATCTATTTTATTACCTGTGAACCTAATGTATGTGTGTCAAGTACTAACTTAACGGCAATCCTAGCAAAGGGCTTGCAAGGAAAGAGAGAAGTAGAGATGGTTTCCCATTCTCTTCCTCTGGAGAGGCTTCCTTGATGGTGTAACAAGAGGCTTAAAAATAGGTACTGAGAAAACAGTTGTGAGAGTCTGACCCACAAATCAAGGCAGTCAACAAGAGTTACAAAAAAAAATTGCTGTCAATAAACACTACATAACAACAATGAACAAATTCCATCAAATCATAAGAAAATCCTTGTATAAGAATAAATCAACATCGTCTCTAGATTTTATAATAATGTTTCAAAAACAGGATCTTCTTCAGGAAATATTCTATACAGTGGTACAAGAGCTTTCATGCTCATATAGTGCTATAGAACCAGAATAATATAATACATTCAGTAATAGGACGCTGATCTCAAAGTTATTCAGGCTGCAAACTTGCTACTCAGTTCCTGACGGATCCCAGGCATCTCAATAACTCCCAGTAAACACAATAGATGCCAACAAAAGGCATGGATTTAAATTTATTTTGTTCAATGTTTATGTACTATTTTTATGACATTCATAAAATTTTAATGTCCTCATCTCCTTTTTCTACTATGTTTGTTAATATTATGTACAGCCTTGAGGCTCTTAATTTAAGATACGGAACACCTGCAATGTTGATTGCTTCATAATGTTAGATTAATGATTCCTGCGTATGGAGAGAGTGGGACATTATTTTCTTAGGATGGCAACTGGTTATGTGTTGATAACGATAGGTTGCTTGTCCACATGACTGGAGTAGCTGCAGCAAACACTGGTATATGTTGTAAAGTTGCATTAACAGCCAGCTACTTCAGGACCTGAGCCAGGGCCATAGCAGAGGTGGGGGAAGTGGGTCCATCATCTCATGCGAAATGTTAAATTGGATCAAATGCAACATTTCTGGGTGGAGTCAGACGTGCTATTTGCTCCATTGTCATAGCTGTATCCTGTTCCCCAGTCGTTGATCTCCCGTACTCACCACTCTCCTGATGTGTTCTTTTCAGAACCTGGGAAGGTTCGAGGTTTACAGATTCCTAGCACAGTTCCGGATTCCCCTGTGCAATCAAGCCACTATGGAAGGGAACCGTTCCTTCCGCTTTGGCACCATTTCCCCTCCCATTTAGCGTTACGTGCATAACCACATAAACACCCCTGGGATTTAAATCAATACCTGTGCGCTCCTGCTCCACAGTACCTTTTTTGGATCTGGAGCCCCTGGAGGGGTTAGTTGCCAGCGGGAACCTCAAGGAACACTACCCTTTCTCTTATTTTGGGGGGTTGGACAGCTTTGAAAATACTCCCTAGCCAGGCTTGCATTTTGGGGGCCATTTTCCTCATCTGGAACTAGAGTCAAAGTCATGTGACAGTGTTCCTCCATCAGGATGGTCTGGACGGTTGCCCATGGGGTGAGTGCACAGTGAATTGGGATGGTCTGGACGGTTGCCCATGGCGTGAGTGCACAGTGAAGCAGGTAACAGCGGAGAAGTCTGAACGTTTCTCTCCAGAAGACACAAAAAACTCGGATGAAATCAAAGGCATGGCCAGAACTCAGAAAACATACCATCTGACCACACTCTCTGACCGCGCTAAAGCTCTTGCTCTTCCTTCTGTGAGCTCAAGGCTGTGCATGTAGTTCTTTCCAAAATAACATCCAACAGCCTATGAGAGATGAGGATGAGAGACAGTAACACTTTTGGGTGACAGTGGCATGGTGAACTTCTACATTTCCAACTACCCTGAAAAACAAGTTTGGAATATTCCCATTTTACAGGTTAAGTGTAGCTGAGAATGGAAGACTTGCGAAGAGCACATACATCACAGTCTTTATGGAGATGCTGGAAAGAACATCTTTGAATGTTCATCACTCCATATTCACTTTTTGTAATCTCCAGAGCAGGGGTGTCGAACTCATTTGTTATGAGGGCTGGATCTGACATAAATGAGACCTTGTTGGGACGGGCCATGTGTGTCATAAAATGTAATGCCAGGTAGCAGAGATATAAACTTTACAAAGGACACAAACACAAAGATTTTTTTTTACTTAAAATAAAAACATGCTTACAATATTAGCTCTGTAAGCTGCAAACCTACTTTTGATTTACTGACATTCAGCACAGAAATCTCATGCTCAGAGTTCTGAGTCTAGGACCCAGGTTAAAACATGAAATGGCTGGGTGATTAAGAGAGTCTGGCAAAGCAAGCTATGATGCTGCAGCAGCAGCAGAACTGGAAGCAGGAGATGACTAGTTCCACTGCGGGCCTGATGGAAGCCCTCCGGGGGCCTGATCCGGCCCCCGGGTCACATGTTTGACTGCTGTAGAGTACCGTTCCATGTAGCTACATCAGGGCTATCAGAGAGTGTTTCTGCTTAACTGTAAGTGGCCATGAGGAATCCCAACAAGTACCCTCTATGCAACGGTGGTGACTGTAAGAATAAAGGGCTGTAAAAGATACACCTTCAGTAGGGATGCCAGCCTCCAGGAGGGACCTAGGGATCCCCCAGAATTACAGCTCATCACCAGGCTACAGACATCAGTTCCGCTGGAGAAAATGGCTGTTTTGGAGGGTGGACTCTGTGGCATTCTACCCCACTGAGGTCCCCGTCCTCCCCAGGCTCCATCTCCAAATCTCCAGGAGTTTTCCAACCTGGAGCTGGCAACTGTGCCTCTCCTGCTGGTGGCCCTGTAACCTGGCAACCCTGCTGGTGGACCTGGCAACCCTGTAACCTTATCAAACACAAATGAACAGTTGCGAATGCAATTAACAAGTCTTATAGCAATGCCTTTAAATAAATAATTTGAAATACCAAATGAGTGTATATTCTTAGTATATATTCCGTTGTCAAAGCTTTCTTATAACAACTCCAAAAGTATTGAATACAAAGTCAAAAGCGCCAAGCCAGAGTTACAATGTAACACATAAAGTTCCCAGACTCTCAACAATCATGAGCTATAAATCAAGGTTACAATGTAACACTACTAGTTCTGAAGTTCTCAATATGACAAATTTATGTCACATATCAGCAGCTGGGAGTTATGTTGTTATGCTGCACTGGGAGTTATGCTGCACTGAAGCACTTGATAGCCAGGAGGCTACTGGTTGAAAGAGATTTCTTGGAGCATGGATTCCAACTTGGATTTTGATCTTCACAATGGAAGGGAGATGTGGCTT